GAATTAGAAAATCCAGGTTCTTTATGAACTTTTTTTGTTTTTCTCATCTCTTTCTGTCGTTGAGGCCTGTGCTGAAGCAAGTGGGGAAGGGGGTTAGGCCTACTCTGTAGCACCTCCGTATCCCCTTCCTTCAGAGCATGGACTTACAAGGAGAGTAATGTCTCAGATGCGAATTTGGCCGACTGGTCGTCTTCAGCGCTCTGTGCCAGACTTCCCTCGAGGAAGGGACACAGATGTGGGGTCCGATGGTCCCTCACCTCCCCCTTCCGCCCTGAATTACTCTGGCAATTCAAGACCTCTAGACAAAACGATTACTCCGAGTACACGATGAAAAAAAAAACGCTTCACCTAAAAATATCGAATACACAACAATACTGACGAAAATTGGTAAATATCCTCAAAAAATGAATACTTGCAACTGAGCCCTAAATTATCTATACCTGTGACGCCTCATCGGTGAGGAGGTCGCATCCGTGCAAAGAAAGGATTTTTACGATCACAGCATCTTTTTGATGAACGTGTTGTGCAGAAATTCGTAGCGATGGCGTCGTAGGCTCGGGAGAGTCGCATTTATAAAACCGCGGCGATTCGAACTGAAAACGAAAATATCATAAATATTATTTTATTTTCTAGATACAATTGTTCTCAAGGTCGCAGATAAACGTGCGCAAAACTTTCTGAACATAGCTAATGCTTATTTGCTCGTTATTGCACGATTTGGTCTCCAGTAGGATTTCAAACGCTTAATAATTACAGATCAAAACCACTGAAAAATCGGCAAAGGGAAGCAAGGAAAACAACCGCGGTGTCTGAGGCGAGAGCAGGCCTCATTCACGGGTACAGTTATACCCTCCTGGAAATTAACTTATTCTGAAGGCAGACTACACATTCATCTCTGCGCATCCTGGTCGTTGTTGTGCGTCAGGTGAGTGGGTCCGCAGCTGCAGTAGCGTGCCTCTTTACCGCTCAAAAGTGCACGGGAACTGGAGGTAGTGATACTCGGATGCCGTCTCCCGACATCCCCCCCCCCTCGCCGCGCGGCCATCCAGACCGTAGCCAGACGCAGTAATTGCCTGCGCCTTCTCACTTCTGGTTGTTCTCTACCGCTGAGTACGTTTTTCATTGCGAGACCTTGGTATCGATGCAAGTGCTCTGCAAATTGAGGTGAGCACGGGCGCAGTATGAAGACGGCACCAATGTATCACAACTTTCCAGCACTTTTCCGTTCACTTTGGCCTAGTAAAACCGTGCTACCACAGCTGCGGCCCAGCCACCTTCCACATGGACTGTGTCGGAGAGTTTGTCGCCAAATAGATGGGGGCAGGAGGCCCATGAGGCTAATCAGGATAAGGTTTTCACTTCCCATGGAGCTTTAAATGAAGATCGAAGTGTACTGTGATAGCTTGAAATGCTGGTTTCAGGTACGAGAGCCAGCTGCTACTTGCATTTCTCAAGGGAATAACAGGCGATCAAATTTGCTATCGTGCCTTGGTGCGGTGGCACAAGGAGATTCTGGCGGCAAACCCCGATGCAGGCACTCTGCGGACGCCCAGTGACTAATATCAACATTTCTTGACAAGCCACATTTGAAAAGATTCATTGGATTGTGGAATTAGCCATCGCCTATATTGCCAATGAAGGTAGAAAATTAAAATGTCCGAATAAATGCGGAAAAAAACTCACGTCGCGTTTATCAATAACAATCTTTGGCCGGGGTTCATATTTCTCGAATTCGTCATCGTTCTGAGGCCTGAACAAAAACATATATTTGGGTCACGTGAGCCATCTGAAAATCCCAGAATCCCCTCTCAGTAAAATTTCCAGTCTTCTATAGAAGAAAGCTATAGCTTCTATAGAAAATTCGTAGTAGCTTGATTAGAAAGCTCGTCACTCGTTGTTAGCATATGTCATAGTTTGAGATTTGAAAAGACGTACACGACTTGGGCTTGACAAAGGTGTCTAAAATTCTTTCGGGGCAAACAAGTTTGGGAGAAACACTCTTCACTGCCAGTGTTAAATATGGAGGGTCACAGTCCCGTAGAGAGGACGAACGGCCTGTTATAAGGCACAATAAGCGAAGAAATGTGCGGAGATCTCGGCCCTCGGTCTCCCTTCGCTCGCTAGATATCCTACCCGGCTCGGCCTTTCTTGTGTCCTACACAGGGGCAGTGATTTTACCGATGTCTTATTTAATAATCCTTTATCGTCGCCGCAAAGCCAAATAGGGGATAGCAGAGGACTAGCAAGGAAAGATTCACGGCCAAGGTCTCTGCTCATTCTTCTCTTTCTAGCGCAGTATGTCGGTCCATTCAGCTGTTCGTTCATTCTGTGGATAAAAAAGGAATACGGTAACAAACTGTTCATTTTTAGGGCAGCTGTGAATCCCGCTGCGATAGTCCAGAGAGAAAGGATGGCTAGAGACGTAGACAGCGTGCCCTCAATAGGATGCAGACAGCACGAAAAACGGCTAGGTGCTCAATGTCGAAGATGATAGTATCTTCGGAAATGAAAATATTTTGCGTAATAAGCAGCTACAACCGGGCCACCAAATATGTGTTCCGAACGCCACGATATGGACAGTGTTCAATCCGGGTGAAAATTTCGGGTCAAAAATAAAAGAGTGAAGCGTCGGCCGTTGACCAATTCCTTTTGGGGATACTACAGGAAGGCATTCTATTCTGACCGAAAATTGCGAAAACTTTTCAATGCCATGGGACCGAGATAATGATTTGCGGAGAGCCTGCCATGTACAACTGCCGCTGAGGGATAAAGGGTTTGATTGTCCCTGGTGGGAGATGGTTCTGGAGTTTGCCCTTGATCCAGCGCGTGGTGGGTAGCATTACTCGCCAGTACAGCATCTCTACCCCTTGGAAATCACTGAGGCCGTCATATAAACCCGTGCGGGTAATGTAGCCTTGAACAAAATCCTCATTGTTTCAACATAAAAGGGCATAAATAAGTAATAAGAAGAAAATGCAGAAAAATAAATAAAAACAAATAACAATATAAGAAAAAATACCTGGGATGGCGAAGTATGGGCACAAACAGTACGCCAATATCTGGACAGCATTGCGAATATGCAGGAAGAAAACATCGAATACATAGTCAATCAGCCAGCTTCTAAGACATAGTTCGATTCTATAGGTACAAATAAAGTCTGAAAAACAATCAATCAGTCGATCAGGCAAGTTTGGCTACAATGTCAAACATGGCTCGGAAAACACGGCAAGGAATATACGGTACACAAATATTTAATTCAATAGAGTCGAATTTGAGTATGAAATAGCGCTCTTCGCAAAAAGTGAGAAGGTACCCATAAAAATTGAGGAATATTTTAGAGGACTCTGGCGCAAACAGCGACAAATACGAAGACTGCTCTCTGAACTAATGACAGAAGAAGCTCCTGGATGAATCAATTTGGAGGACTTGGCCCCTTCTTATTGGGGAAATTCCAGTCTTGCATTTGGGACCCTTCAAATACCTCCAAGGCCAATAGAACCGTGAAGACAATAAGCATACAGGAACGTACACAGAACGCCGGTGTCGCTCACACCTGCACTAAAGGATGTCGGTCGGGAGATCCGCAAGGAGGGCAGCGAGGAACTCCACATGGCGGGCAGCGAGGAACTAATCCAAGCACATCTCATGATTCGCTCGGTGACTTTTATTATCTTCGTTGCAGCAAATTCTGCATATACCGTGGGCGACGTGGCGACGACATTGCAGCGCCGTTTTGAGCGACATGTCGCAACGTGGATCTCCTAACCACCATCCTGACAGAAACCTGCACTCGAAGTTCTTCCATTTCTGATGGAACAAATGAAGATGAATAACAAAGATATGGGATAAGCACATTTGGGATAAATACGAAATCGATGAAGCTAGCAACCAATAGCTGATACTAGCTGATTGAAACACGGAAATACGCTTCAGCATTCGCTCAAGTACAGAACAATGATAAATAGTCTCAAAAGCAGCATACTATTAGGTTGTTCGAAAAGTCCTGCGACACTTTGATTGAATTGTTCTAGAAAAAGACCAAAAATCATTTTGAATGTTTTTATCTCTGATTAGTGGAGACTGTCTCCTGGGGTTTCTGAAAATGGGTATATCATGGCTCCGTGGAAGTTTTCAAAGCTTAAAAATACCTCAGAGATCGAGGTACTTCTCGACCTATCCCATATTATGAGTTCCTGTAGGGCAACTCCGCCATAGTCGAGGAAGCTAACACTTACGTTGTCTTGAGGAAGGATATCGCTTGCCATAGCAGAGAGTTCCTTTTGCATCAGCGCTTCCAGGCTGGACTTATTCAACTCGGAAGTAGGCAATGTATAGGTCGGCCACCAGCACAGAATGACGGCCCTTTACTCAAGCTTCTTGAGGCGCAGCCGAACGTAACCACCAGTAAGTTGGCAACCTCTCTAGGCTCCACCTAACTGACAACTGCCATGCTTCTCCGCAATCTCGGTTATCGGAAAAATTTTTTATGAAGGATGCCTCATGAGTTGAACCCCTCTGACAAGTCATACCGAATGACCGTGACTGAGTTTTTTTTCCTTGTACACACTGGAGGAACATTTGTGAGATCTTGTGGTTGGTAGAGAGTGGTGGGGTCCTTGCGTACATCTTGCACATGTTCCTCGCAGGATCTCTCAAACAGAAAAGTAGATTGCACAGCCAAAAGCAGATGTGCATGGGATAAAGATTTCAGTAGGTTATTGGTGGGACTTCAAAGCGGTATCTCTGGATACTAGCATAACGGTAAGGACTACAGTCCACTCTAACCAACCTCACAACATGGATGACGTCACGCTTGAATTCTTCAAAAATACTCAATTTTTCTCTACCGCTCGGCAATGCGAAGACCGCATGTTAGGATCAGGCCACACCAAAAGATCGTGGATCTTGATCTGAGAATGCGACCATACCCAGCTTATTCATCAAAGTTAGCAGTCTCTAACTACTACCTTTTTTGATCCCTACCGCATCCTTAAGAAGGCAAAAATTCCGAAAATCGACGTCTACTCAAAAATGAGGTCCACCTCTTCTTCTTATCATAGTTGCCGTAGTTCTATAAGAATGGAAATGAGAAGCTGTGCAAAAGAAGGGCACTAGTCCTAGTCCTTAGTGGTGATTACCTTGTAGATTGGAGATGTCTTTTAGTGACTGAAAATTTAGTCCGAAAAATTGGTCAAAGTGTCGCAGGACTTTTCGACCAACCTAATATAATGTTTTATTCATTGAGTACAGATGATTATTAACACGACTAAACTTGCGCATACACAGATATGACCATTTCAAGTTTAGACAGCGCCCGCGATGGACTTTGGACAGGTCAGTGGTAAATTATGTTCCGAGAACACCATACAAACCCCCGCGTCCCCCCCGGGGTGCCAAAACAAAACGTGAAGCACTAATCAAAAAAAGTAGGAAAAAGGTGTGGAAGAGCGTGAAATAAGACCCTACGAAATTTAAGGCATGTGGACGAGTTTCGCAGACCTTTGGTGAGTTCTCCAATACACGTCGCCGCCTCGGAACTCCAGAAACTTAGCGTTTATCAATGCCAGCAAGCACTGACAACTGTTAACCAGTCGGGGCGGGATTAACAGGGAAGGAGGCGTCAGCTCAGCCTTGTTGACTCCGCCCTCGTCAACCAATCGATTTCGAGCCGCAAGAGTGGGATTTCCGCTGTGGTTGCGTACTCCGCGTTCGTTTTCATTGGAGGGTTTTTTCACTTTGGTTGATCGCGGACGCTGCCTTTAAATGTTGCACCACGTTTCAAAGAAAATTCGCACCACTTTCAACAAATTCACCACTTTTCAAAGCAAATTCCCACTTTTCCAAACCAAATTGACCACTCTTTTTAGACAAGGCAGTTCACCAACCAAATCACGCCAGACACCACCGTGAACCCTGCCCCGACGGTCACCGAGTTGTCAACTAGGATTTTACACATAACGACTCGCCCATTCGCTTTAGAATTGTGGCCGGTAATTCAAATCTTCATACTTTACTTTTGATGTCACCAATCCACTCTTCGCACAACGAAAGTATTTGTAGACACGAATTTTATACATCGCGCAATTTAGGCCTCCCGCGTCCCTGCTGGCCGACGCCCTTGCTTTTTGCGGAATCGATATTTTCATTTTGCAGTCCATGAAGCCCGCCACTGTGGAGAGGCTCGCCACTTGGTAAGAGCCCGGCCTACTTTAATTAAAAAGGATGCAACGGCAAGTATTAGAAGCCCATGGGCTTGCCATGCGCAAGGGTATTGCTGGTCATATCGGAACAAACTTGCCTGATTATTTGTCCGTGAGTTATGGACGGCAAGCCTCCCTGCATGCAGAGCCAAGGGCTCGTATACCTGCCGATTGGCACCATTTTTTGAAAAGTGGGCAAGGCTCTCTTCCAAAGTGAAGAGGGAGCGTGCTCGCTCTCAGTCGGGCGGCGCGCTGGTCAGTTAGTCCAAAAATGCAAAATTCTTTGAAAAAATATCAAAAATTCGCAAAAAAGAAAGTGGCGGAAGGGGCGGCAGCCTGAATTGCCGCCGGACCGTGCACGAAGGCGGCGTCTTACGAAAGTACCTCCGTGGTGGCGACGACGCTGAATGTGCGTATTAAAAACTGAAAAGTTATGAAGATTTGTGAAGTGTCGCAACAACTTAAAGAATGGGCGGAGGTCAGTCATGTGTTGAAAATCTATGTCCGCGCTGACAAGTAGGCGTGACCGTCGGGGCAGGGTTCGCGGTGGTGTCTGGCGTGATTTGGTTGGTGAACTGCCTGGTCTAAGAAGAGTGGTGAATTTGGTTTGAAAGGGGTGCATTTGCTTGAAAAGTGGTGAAAGTCAAAGTGAAAATGGTACATATGAAACACAAGCAGTAACGCCGATAGTGGTGTCAAAGAGGTGTGTTGCACGATAGCCAGAGGCGGACACTCGTCCCACAAATGGCCGTCGTGCCCTGGCAGAACAGAGGCTTTTTTGCGCAGTTCATTGATTGTTTTGCTGGTTGTCGTTGTTTCCCCCCCTCTGGCACCACGCTACAACGGGTGTCGGTTGTATATGCTAAGCGAGATTTGTCCCCTAACCATGACCCGACTAGGCTCTGAGAAGTAACGGACAACCAAAAGTGAGGCGGCACGGCCAAGTAGCACGTTCAGCTATAATCAGGCTTGTGGCTGGCTGTACGTCAGTGGGGGCCGTGTACGGAGACGGCCACGTCGGGTAACACTCTCCAACCCCGTTCGGGACGGGCTTGTGTGCAGAGAGCGTGGCACTACTGGACTGGGTACCCAATCACTCCAACGCTTACGAGAAACAGGATTCCACGATGAGCGGAGCGCCCACTTTTGTCTTAAATTAATCATGGAGACGCCAAATGCTCGATTTTTGTGATGCACGGCTTCGCTTCACAGCCTAATCATGTATACATTTAGACAAATGTAGCCTGCCACCTAGGCTTCTAATGTAAGGTTGTTAGTCGCTACTGCAGCCATTGATGCTCAATTCTATCCCTTGTTTCATCAAAAACTTCACATAAGGGGTGCAAAAAAAGTCTTTTGCCTCCATGACTTTCAAGGCGCTATAAGTTACACTTTATTAAATTTTATCGGACATTTTTACTACCATATTAAAGAGCACATTAAATACTATAATGATACTCCGCCACAGCCTTCTGGAGGAGCGCCATCGAGAGATTCGGCCGCGCGAAAGTGAGTGGGTACCGGAGTTGAGCAGATAGAAGCCAACCTTTAGAGCATCCACAAGGGAAATTGGCCTTGAAGAGCTGGAGTTGGCTTTCGGAACTCTAAGCACGTATTTAAAAGGATCGTTGATTTCTCCGCCACTGTAGACCACCCTGTTGAGCTCGCCCGAACCAAGTAATTGAGGGGGTTTAGTTCAGGACCCTCGCTTAAATACTCCATCTTCTTTCAGGTACGGTACGGCAGGTACTCAACGTTCTTCCATTCCAAGTAGGCGAAAGTTTTTCCAACGCCCTTCGATTAAATGTGTTGTCACCCAATCCTGTAGCAGTACAAAGTTTCCAAGAAGGTACGGGCGACGACATGAAGATGGGATATTCTCCTCGAGTTGCTCGATGTAGCC